ACTCATGGCTCTGGTGGTGCAAGAACCTTCTCCTCTGCATTGCCTTTCTTCAGGACCAGCCAGCTGTTCCTGAGTGTCTCATCTCATTCCAAAACACAGCTGAAAAATGCCTTTTTTCCTTTGACTAGTCCTCTCTGTTTTTCTTTCTTTTTTATTTTATGTATTTATTTTGCTGCTATTTTTCAGTATTTACCACTAGCGAGCAGGGGCAAACTCTAGTCTCTATTATGCCCATAGCATCCTGATGAAGCCACAACAGTTGCATGGGTGCAACTAACAGCAGCATTAGCCCTTGTAACTTATCTTATTCTGTGAAGTGTTGGGGGCTACAGCTTGCCTGAAAAAATAGAATGTCTACATCATGCTTTAAACGCACGGAGTGCTTACAAACAGGGCCGAATCTGCACAAATACCCCTTTAAGGCAGCTAAGTAAGGAGCTGTTATCCCTGTTTGATAGATCAGGAAACTGAGGCAGAGAGGTTACAGACCAAAGTTTCCAAGGGTTACCTACAGTTTTTGGTGGCCATCTTTAGAACTTAAAGCCAGATTTTCAGAGATGCTGAGGACACTGTGGGTTCACCTCTGACAATCAGATCACAGGTGTCCAAAGATGGCCACCAAAAACTAGAGGTCACACTTGAAAATTTGGTCTTTAACCTCACTGCCTCAATTTCCCCATGTATAAAATGGGGATAACGGCTACCTACACAGCTGCTTCCAAATTAGAGGTCGTTTTTTAAAATGTGGGCCTTAGGGACTTATGTGTGGCCACACAGCAAGCCAGTGGGAGAGCTAGTACTAGAATCCAGTACTTAGCATTCCCTGGCCTGCGTGCTAAGTACTAGATCAGATGGTCTCTCAGTGTTGTACTGGATGATTCAATTTACAATCAAGTATTTAACGGAGAGAGTTGCAGCGCTGTAAAGTGGCATTGTAGACAAGGCCTTAATCTCAGCGAAATCCACAGTGGGACAGTAACTCAATCGCTGCTGAGACACCACCCTTTATGGTTGTATCAGGGTAACTTTATCACCATTTCACTAATATTATGACAAGTAGGTGTCATGCATAGCAAACACATGAGAGAAAAGTAGTCAGTGACAGCTTACATCCAGCGACAGGCATGGTTCACATAACTGACACAAATTTTATTTGTCATTGTTTTTACTGCTGTGGTCTCCCTAAGAGAGAAATTTAACTACCATTTTAGGCTCAAACTTGTGAGACTGCTTAGTTCTGGTCCTCATTTACATTAAGGCCACTTAATACTACTCTAGTTCTGTAAGAATGCCTTAAAGTGGGTATAAATACAATTGACTTCCACTTTAAGGCCTCTTCACGCCATGGCCCACCCACTTAGCATCCAAGCCCACCCCCCAGCCCTGGCTCTTCTCTGGCCCCAGCACTTGCCCCACTCCACCCACCTGCGCGGCATAGGCACGGGAACTAAGGGCTGGGGGGTGCTGCAGCACCCCCAGGTTTTACACGGAGCTCTGCTCCCAGCCCTTGCACCTGCCTCCAGCTGTGGCCCCAGCATCGGCCCCTTTACCCCTGTCCAGGTCCCCCCTCCTGGAGACGCAGCCCTGCTCCCAGCCCCAGCTCTGAGGGGAAGGGGAAAGAGGGCTGGCTTTCAGCACCCCCACTATTAACCATGTTCCAGTGCCTGCCGGGGAGTGGGGTTGCCCCGACCCCACGCCCCAGCTGGAGAACCGGGCGGGCGGAGTGGTGCAAGCCCCTATGTCCAGATCCCATTCCCAAGGTAGAGCGCCAGGCAGGTGGGCAAAGTGGAGCAAGCCCCCACACTCCCACCAAATCCGCAACTGGGAGGAGGGCGAGCAAACAGGCGGTCGTAGAGGAGAGCTTCAAAAAAGACAGACCCACTGCCCAGGGGAGCCAGGCCCGGTGTGGGGCGGTGGGATCTGGAAGGGATCCAGGAGCGCAGGAGAGCAGCATCTCCTCCCAGAGCTGGGTGCACATGCGGGGCCTCGGGGAGCCTCTGACCAGAGGGTCCATCCATCGCCCCCTGCAAGGCCAACTGCAGGGGGTGGGGGAGGCGGGCCCACATCCCTCCTGCCCTCCAGCTGCCCCCCTCCCCCATAATTGCCAGCCCATCCAAAGTCAGGGCCCACCCAAATATCCCATGCTGGCTTTGCCACTGCTTCACACTGCCAGAATACTGTAAAGTGGCTTTAGTTTAACTGTAGGGTCAGGGTCCCTGAGCATTATTTGTTCACACAATTATCATGACTGCACACACAGTCACTATAATTGTGCACACACACTTTTGAAAATTTGGGACTCTGCATGTCCTCAAAAAATGCCTTTTAAGTTTTCGTAGTTTGGCCCAAATTTATCAAGAGAGACCAAGCAGCTAGAGGCTTTATTGACCCCAGTAGAGTTACATCAGGGATGAATGAAGCCAGTGTACATACTTCCCCTCTTTTTTCTAAATGGGGGAGGGGGCAGCAGACCCTGCATTTCTATTAAAAATTGAAACTAAATTAACAAATAATTCCAGCAATAATTACTAATGTCTGCAGTTATCGAAAGCCTAGACTATCCAAATACCAAGCTGTGCTACGCTCTAGCAGAAAACCTTAGAAAATAAAAGCCAAGGCCACATGGTAGGTCTTTTAGTCCATCTCCAACTGATGCAGGATAATTACTCTATAAATTCCCTCTGATATATATGTAGGGCATCACCCAGTCTAGTCTGAAATGATTCATTAAGGGGGTACGTACTTGCTCTCTAGAAATATAGAATTAGACTTTTCACCACTCACTAATGTTACCTATTTTTGAATGCTAGAGGTCAATGTCACTTATTTCATAAGCATATCTCCTTATTAGTTGGTCTAGCCCTGAGTAATCCAGGCTTCACCTTCTCCTTGCATATATGTAGTAGCTGGCAGAGTTCTTAAACTTATGGGCCCTATCAGTACTAGTACAGTTAAGCGGAGACAGTGGCAGACATCAGAAGAAACAACTGGTAATGTGATTAGCCTAGTCTAATGACAGGTGTCTGTACTAGAAACCGGACTGTATGATTTCATTAGATTAGAATGTTTAGATTTAGTGGCCTCAGAAGAGTTCCACCTTGTCAGGAGAAGTGCTTTGTAGGGGTCATCAATATAAAAGCAAGTATGGGAGCAAGTCAGGTGAATCTGAGCATATTTAGAAGAAAAATTGCTAGAAGGGCTAGTGACTTCAGAAGATGGCAGTTTCCCCACCCCCCAAATCAGTATTTCACCATCGCACCATTCATCATCATCTGCTTTATCAAGATGCTTTCCCACAGTGATTTGTACCATAGCCAGTCTGCATCCTTGCCAGATGACCAGTCACATCTTCCTTTCCTACTAGTTATTCTCAAGGGTATGGCCTAGTGGCCTGGACCAGACCTCTGAGTTACCTAGTATATCTGGGGTGGGGATGCGGTGTTTGGATGGAATGAGAGTCTGAGTCCCAAATGCAGTGTTCTGTTCCTCAGGCCAGCTGGACTCAGGTATTGTGTAGACATAAGATTTGCAGGTTGTGACAAGGTTCACCTCCATGGTGCCCTCTTGTCGCCCAACAGGGCACTACTCACCCTGTAATGGAGTCTCGGTTGGTTGCCGTCTCTCACAGGTCCAGTGCAATGGTGCTTTAGTCCCCTGGCTAAGACACACTTGAGTCCCAGGCTTCAGGGGTATTAAAGTCCAAAAATAAAGGAATGCTACAAGCTCAAAACAAGGTAATCCAATGAATCTTCAGTCAGGACCCCACCTGCCCACTCAGGGCCTGTCTTCATGCTAGTGCTTTTTGTCAGTCTCCTTGGGCCCAGTGATCCCACCACTGGGGGAGGCTTGTCCACTCCTGGCTGAAACCAGGCTTCCCTCACTGAGGAAGAAGCAGAGCTCCGCTCTCCTTCCTGGCTAGCCTCAGGCTCCCCTCTCCCCTTCTGACATCTGTTGTATGTGAGCAGGATGGGGTCAATTTGGTCCAAAGGCCCTCAATTAACCTTCTCCTTGCCAGTGTGGGGCCTGTATGCCCCATCATACAAATCCAGATTAGCGATTTGAACCATTGCTGTTGAAGGAGTAGAAGCAGGGTAAGGAGCCATGATAGACTAGGTGCCATAGGATGGTGCAATGCCTCCTGGGAGGACTGGGATCACACCTGATGGAGTATCTACATAGTCTTATCAAGACGGAGGGACTGGTTGGGTGGCAGGTAGGAATGTTAAGGCAGGAAAAAGTTTGTGCACCAATCAGCATAATAAACTCCAAGACCTACTGGGCCTTGGATCTTTGTCCAAGCGTGCCAAAGCACCAGTACAGCAAGAAGCGTTTGGGAGGGGGAACACAGACAGTAAGTGTGTAGAGTGTGTGCGTGTGGTGGGGCCTCCATGATAGAAAGGAAGGGGAGGAATGTCCTCCTTCCCTTGCCATAACAAAAAAAAAAACAAAACCACTTGTGTGTGCGAGCAGTAGGTTGAAGAGCTGCCTGGTCAGGTATCACATACTTGGTGTGTGATCAGGAATTATGAGGACTAAAGATCGACAGGTACTGTAGATAGTCACGGCCCACCCCTACTATTTCCTTGGTAGCAAAGTCTTGTGAGTCAGTTGTCTCCTGTGCTATGAATCTAGAGGTGAGCCATCCAACAGAAGGAAGTCAGCATCTCAATCCCCTAGAAAGGTTCTGAAACACCTCCCGTATTGACTCAGCAAAGGTAACCAGGAAGCACTGTAAAGTTATACTTTGTGGCATTTTATTTAGTAAACAAATCCACTGGATGAGTGGCTATTGCTCTGCTCTGCCCTGCCATAGAGCTAAGTTCATTCAGCTTCCAGTTTGTGAGTCTTATTCCCTGGCTTAGGAGCACTTTGTATCACCCAGCAGTTCCCCTTTGTCCACTTATTGCCTCTGTAGGAATTCTTGTCTATGCCTCAGGATGGAAGAGGTGCTTTGTCACTTGAAGAGCTGACAGCCCAAGTTCTGTGTTTTATTTTGACAGATGGGATGCAAAGGAAGGTGAAGACATGCCCTTTCTAAAGGATGACCCTGATAACCAGGTGAGTTTAAAGAAAATCTGCTCAATTCTTGCAGTTAGTCCTGAATAAAAACTTGCAATCTCAGGTAATTTGGGATCTATTGGTTAGAGCACAGACTTGAGAGACAGGAGACCTGGGACGTACATCTGACTCAGTCAAAGACCCTCCCACCCTTTGACCTAGGATAAGTCCTTAGACTTCTCTATGGTTCAATTTCCCGCTCTGAAAATCAGGATAATACTTATTTAGCTTTGGGAAACGTATGTCTTCAGAGGAAAAGTACGATATAATTGCATATTGATATTTTAAATAAACTGAACTAAATGGTTCTCGTTCTCTCTTTTCTCATTCCAGAGATCCACCAGTGCTGACACGCTGAAGAGCAAAGTTTCAGCGGGCAGGGAGGTGACAGAACAGAATTGCACAGCAGACCAGGAAGAGAACATGGAGCAGCAAAGGCCCCAAGACCCTGGTTTCTTCTCATCACAAGGGGAGAGAGGTGGGAAGGTTCTGCCTGCACAGGACAATCAGAGGGAGAAACAGCGAGCAGGGAAGTGCCTCAGCAAGGAAATGGCAGCGTCCAGTGTGGGTGACTCCGAGCCAGAATCCAAGCTAAGTCAGGAAGGAATTCTGGAAGCTAACACTGGGAAGCCTAGCACGACCAATCTCTCCCAGCAGGGCAGCTGCACGAACAGCAGCACTTCCCAAAGCATCACTACAAGCACTATGCAAGCTGCTGGCCTTGGCAGAAAGGGAAGCATGTCAACACCCCTGGGAAATGGCTTAGAGAAAAATGCTCTGTCAGAAAGAGAGCCCATTGAGGACTCTTCAGAAAGCCTCAGCGGAAAGCTGGAAGAGGCAGCACGTGGTAGATGTGATGGAGCCAAAGGACTGTCACTGAGGAGAGTGGATGAGGTGACCCAATACACTGGTTCTGAGGGGCAAAACGTCACAATAAAAGGAGGCGAGGTAGCCACATGCCTTGAACATAGAGGGGATCCTGCATCTCCAAGGAAAGACATCTCAGACAAGATTGGGGTCTCTCAGCAGGATGGGGCAAAAGCACAGAACAAGAAAGGTGACCACCCTGAGAAGTGCAGTTACAAGAACAGTGGGGACAGTCAGAACTCAAGGAGAATACACTGGATTGCAAGAGATTGAAGGTGAGTGCATGGTCCATAGCTCACTTGGAGGTATTTTAATAATCCCAGGTGCACTTAATTGAGCGTAGACGTGAGACAGGTCCACAGCTCAGCTTTTTTGGGGTCAGCAGGGCAATTTACTAAATATTTGCCCAAATATGCTCATGAATTTTAACACTGAGCAGACAGTAACTGCACCCAACTTGTCCCATCCCCATGGTTCCAAATTACATGAATCAACTGTGAAAATCTAAATCTCCACATCACAATTACCTTCCTCTGGAATATAGTAAAGAGAGAAACCTTAGAAGGCTTCCCCATGGTTGTTTCCTGCTGCTGACATGTAGTACTCAACAATCCAGGGGGCTCAGACTTTGAAATTGGATACTTGTTTCAGATAGTCTCTGAAATTCCAGGAAGAAGTAGCAACCTGTTGCATGGACCTTTCCTTTGGACTGTGCATCGATCACAGGTAGAATAATTAGTGGCCTATTGAGTGCCATTCCAACAACATCTTTCTTCGTATTATAGGCCCCTCTCGTCTGCAATAGTTTGAACGTCAGGCTAGAGGATCATGAGGATCACGTGATTCTCTCCCCAGTGCATGAAATACAAACAAAAGGGTAATAAAATTATTTATTTGGCAACACTAATGTATATGGCACTTTACAAACATAAAGGTCTTCTCCAGAGACCTTTTAATCAAAGCAGAAGGCAGAAAAAATCCACTCTGGTTAAATTGCAAAGCTCAAGATATTATTCAAGCCAACTATGCATCTTCCCAAAAAAATTGAAATCCCACCCAAGTGACGACAATAGAAAAGAATATAAACTATGGCAGGCAAAAACAAGATGGAAATTAGGAGGAAGGGCTTAGAGGGAATTTGAAGAGCAAATGGCTAAAGACATAAAACAAAATAAGAAGAAATTCCTTCAGTAGCTCAGAAGCAGGAAGCCTGTGAGAGATTTGGTGGGTCCCCAGGACTACCAGGGAGTGAAGTGAGCAGATAAGGACATTGCATAGAAGCAAAATGATTTCTTTGCATCAGTGTTCACCACTGAGGCCGTCAGGGGAGATCTGTTCTTTTCAGATAATAAGGATGAGGCATTATCATAGATTGGTGTGTCAACAGAAAAGGTGCTAGAACAAACTGATAAAATAGGGCCTGATCCTAAAGCCCCATCCACAACACCCAACTTTTATGTGTCTGGAAAGTCACTGGAATGCATCTGATGAAGTGGGTTATATCCCACGAAAGCTTATGCCCAAACACATTTGTTAGTCTCTAAGGTGCCACAAGGACTCCTCGTTGTTGTTTTTTTGAACAACAGTGTGACCCACAAAGCTTGAGTTAAGCACTTAGGCTCCCTATATAATGCCTGGGGAGAGATAGATGCCTTACAGTGAGACCTACAAAGCCAGCATGCTAGGCAGGGGGACGCCTAAGCTAGCCAACAGAAGATGCAGATGAGGGCATAAGCGCCGACTCCGTGGGTGCTCCGGGGCTGGAGCACCCATGGGAAAAAATTGGTGGGTGCTCTGCACCCACCGGTAGCTCCCCACCCTGCCCCCCCCCGACCCTAGCTCACCTCTGCCTCCGCTCCTCCCCTGAGCACACCACTGGGTCCTACTTCTCCCCCCTCCCTCCCAGCTGTTTCGCACGGCAAGCCTGGGAGGGAGGATGGGGAATGCAGCACACTTGGGGGAGGAGGCGGGGCCGGGGTGGGAATTTGGGGAGGGTCCAATGGGGCAGGGAGGGGCGGAGTTGAGAGGGGCGGCTACGAGCACCCACCAGCACCAACAAAAGTTGGGGCCTGTGGATGACGGGGGTGCATACCAAGTCCCATCCCGCTCTTAGCATTCTGCACCTAACTCCAGACTTCAGGGAGGTGCCTATCTCTACTTGTGATTCATGAACTGGGGCCACCTAAGTCACATTAGGGCTTGATCGGTAGTCATGCTTAGAGGGTGCCTAATGCCACACAAAACCTCTAGGGGTGGGAGGAAGAGGACTTACCTTATAACTTTTAGCCCAGGGGTGGGCAAACTGCAGCCCATGGGCCAGATCTGGCCTGCAAGCTCCCACTGGGGTGCAGGATCTGGGGCTTGCCTTGTTCCAGCTGGGGCACAGGGTCGGAGGCCACTCCATGCAGCTCCCGGAAGCCAAGGCATGGCCCCACTCTGGCTCCTACACACTCCAATGGCTCCCTCCCGTGCTCCAATGGGAGCTGCAGGGGCGGTGCCCGCAGACGGGGCAGTGTGCAGAGCCATCTGGCCACGCCTCCACAGAGGAGCCGGAGAAGGGACATACTGCTGAACCCCAACCCCTCATTCCCAGCCCCACCACAGAGCCCATACCCCCAGCAGGAGCCTGCATCTCTTCCCGCATCCCAACCCCCTGCCCCAGCCCAGAGGCCCCTCCCAAACCCTGAACTCCTGATTTCTGGCCTCACCCCGAAGCCTGCACCCCCAACCAAAGCCCTCACCCTCTCCCACACCCCAACCCCAATTTTGTGAGCATTCCTGGCCCATGATACAATTTCTATTCCCAGATGTGGCCCTCAGGCCAAAAAGTTTGCCCACCCCTGTTTTAGCCTATTGGTTAGGGTATTCACCTGGCATGTGGGAGACCCCCACTTCAAGTCCCCCACTTCCAGGCAGGGGGTCCTGGGAATTACACAGTAATTGTAATTGAAACTTATTGAAGTTAGGCAACCACTGCTTGAATATTATGTCCAGTTCTTGTGTCCACAGTTTAAGATGGATGTCAATAAATTGGAGAGGGCTGAGAGAAGGGCCACAAGAATGATCAAAGGATTGGAAAACATGCCTTATAGTTAAGGCTGTGATTTAGGAATCTGTGACTTCCAAAGACCTCCGTGACTTCAGACAGCACTGGCTGGGAGCTGCAGGGTCCCCTGCCGACTGCGGAGGCAGGGAGCTGTGGGGGAGCCCCAAAGCTCCTGGCCACCACAGGTGGCAGGGGGGACCCCTGCAGCTCCCCCGCTGCTCCTGGCCACCAGGGATGGCAGGGGGGGAATCAGCCACTCCCAACCGCAGGCAGCAGGGGGAATCCTCGTTGCTCATGGCTGCTGCGGGCAGCAGGGGCAACCTGCACTGGTCCCTGCCACCTCAGGTGGCAGGGGGGACCCGCTGGCGGGGGGAATCCACGCTGCTTACTGCTGCCCCAGGAGGCAGGGGGGACGCATGCCGCTCCCCACAGTGGTGGGCAGCAGGAGGACCCAGTAGCAGGGGGAATCCCCTTTGCTCCCATGCACCGCAGGTGGCAGGGGGGATCCACCAAGCTCCTGACCGCTGCGGATGGCAAGAGAGACCCCCGACACTTGGATCTTTGATGCCCTGGGCAGCAAGAGGGAGCCCTGGAGCTCCTGGCTGCTGCAGACGGCAGGGGAGACCCCCAGCAGCTCCCAGCTGCAGTGTGGGGGCAACCCTGGAGCGCCAGGCTGCCCAGGCTACCCCCATTTTGTCATGGGTATTTTTAGTAAAAGTCAAGGACAGGTCACATACTTCCAGTAATTTTTCATTATTGCCTGTGACCTGTCCATCACTTTTACTAAAAATATCCATGACAAAAACATAGCCTTACTTATAGTCATAGACACAAGTTGCTCAATCTATTTAGCTTGACAAAGAGAAGGTTAAGGGGTGAATTGGTCAGCCTCTGAGGACCTACATGGGGAACAAATATTTGATAATGGGCTAGCAGACAGAAGTACACCTCTATCCTGATATAACGAGACCCGATATAACACGAATTCGGATATAACATGGTAAAGCAGCGCTCTGGGGGGGCTGCACGGTCCGGGTGGATCAAAGCAACTTTTTAAAACAGATATGCGCTAGTTCAAAAGAAATATTTAGTTCTGCAGTCTGTGTTATACACAAAGTCAGAGTAGATGATCACAATGGTCCCTTCTGGCTTTGGAATCCATGAATCCATATGAAAGGCAAATTGGTTGACACAAATCATTAAAAATAGACAACATCTAAATGTACATGACGTAAGAAACATAAACCAGCATGGCTTAGTAGATAAAGGGGAAGCAGCTAACATACTTCATTTAGCCTTTCAGAAGCCTTGCACAAAGTCCCACACAAGAGGTTATTAAGGAAACTAAGTTGCCATGGGGTGAGAAAAAGTACATTCATGGATTAGACACTGGCAAAGAAGAAACAAAGAGTGGGAAATAGCTATTTTTTTCAAGGCAACTGGTTAGCAATAGATTCACTTAAACACATCCTTGATGCCATCCCTCCTCTGCAAAGTACTTAAGCACATGTTTAAAGTTAAGCACCTCATTAAGTCCCACTGAAGTCAATGGGAAGTCATTGGGACTTTATGCAAATATTTAATCACATACTTACATGCTTTGCTGAACTGGGACATAAGAAAAGTATTGTTTGATATACATAATATGTTTATGGTTTCAGAGTAGCAGCCGTGTTAGTCTGTATTCACAAAAAGAAAAGGAGTACTTGTGGCACCTTAGAGACTAACAAGTTTATTTGAGCATGAGCTTTCATGAGCTAGAGCTCATGCAAACGTAGTGATGTGGCAATATTTGTACATGACACAAAGTTATTTTGGTTATTCAAGGCTTAGGCAGACTAAGTAATTTCAGAAGAGCCTAACAAAGATAGGAAACTGGGCAGCACAATGGCAGGAGACATGCAGTGTTGACAAATTCAAGGTAATGCACATTTGAAGTAACAATTTGAAGTACAACTACCCATTGCTAGGTTCTAAACTAACTGTAACCATTCAGGAAAAAAACCCAAGCATCATTGCATGTAGCTCTATAAAAATCTCTCTTCAATGCAGCCAGAAAAGCAGGGAAAACATTTGGATGATAATGAATGTGACAGAAAATAACATTGAAAACAACATATTGCCATTATACAAATCAGAGGTGTGATTTTAATCGAGAATACTAAACTCACTTCCTCTGAATCAGAGCCACCTGACAAGTATAAAGACAATTTGTCATTGAACTCTATA